GCTGAACCTGGGTGCTTATGGGGAAAAAACTTTAAAAAATAAAAATAAAAGGATAAATAGGGGTGCCCTAAGCATTACTGTCTGTGTCAATTTAACTGGACATTTAGAACTGCTCTGTTACTTCAGCTGATCTGTGTTTGTGGTGGAGGAGGTGCAGACTTTCCTCTGTCATTGTTTTTCTGCATTTTCTAACATTTTCTATTTGTGGACTACTATGGTTTTTATTAGATATTCCAGTTCCTTCTGTCCTGGAGTGGCTTCAGCTGATGTGTTACCATTCTTACTTATTTTGAATAATAATAAGTGAATAATACTACTGAATGCCAAAACTCCAGGATGTGGAACATTCTGAAACTGTAGGAAACTTCTGTGTAGATTCAAGATGAAATATTCTTACGAACCTCCTAGAATTTCAACAACATGTAAAAGGTTTATACTGAATGCTTTAATTAATAAATTGAGTAGTCCACTTTCATACTGGGTTCTAGAAGACTGCAGATTTAAAGACCAGGAATAGACTTTAAATTTTGTCACTAAGGTGTCAGAAATTGATCAAGAATTGTATCATAATTATATAAATTTTATTCAGCAAAATATATTTAAAGGGTTTTCCTCTTGTTATTTTGTTTTGTTCTTGTGCTTTTTTTTTCTCAAGGAAATGGAGAAGTCAGATGCCAACAACTTCTTAATCTTATTTCGGGATTCAGGCTGCCAGTTCAGATCTTTGTATACTTATTGCCCAGAAACTGAAGAAATCAATAAACTGACCGGGATAGGCCCTAAATCTATCACTAAAAAAATGATTGAGGGGCTTTACAAATACAATTCCGACAGGAAACAGTTTAGCCACATACCTGCTAAAACTTTATCTGCCAGTGTGGATGCAATTACCATTCACAGCCATTTATGGCAGTCCAAAAGACCAGTAACACCCAAAAAACTTCTACCCACTAAAGCATAGGAGTGGGAAATACTGCTTCAGAACATTCACGGTAAATTTGCACTTCATCTTTCCTGCCTATAGAAAATCTTTCTAATTGCCAACAAACTTTTCTTAATTAAAACTGGACTTTAAGCGCTGTTGTCATGAACAACTGGAATGTAAACCACAGTATTTTGGAATGCAGAAGATTCTTAGGTGATAAGTCCAAGTGATGAAGGAAGTGTTTTGATTCACGAATGGAGATTTGTGTGTTACCGGTTCCTCTGCTTGGTGTTACATGCGTTGAAGCACTGAATTTTCATGGACACGAGGTGGACTTACGGTCAGAATATAGCTAAATTACAAATTATGTGTGTTATTTGTTGCTTTTTTTTTTTTAACCTTTTAATGTACATGCTTGTCTTCAGATGGTTTATTTTGCTGTTTTTCTTTTCCTGGAGGTTCATTCTAAGATGCTCCACATTTTGTTTCATGTGGAGATCATGAAAGTAAGACAGAGACCTTCAGAAGTAACTCGCACCTTTGTTCTGATGTTAAGAGAAACACTAGTGGTTAGCTTTACGATACTCATGTTTTAATGGTATTAGAGCATTTGCAAAAATTATTCTGCTAAGTATTTACAATTCTGTATTTATTATTCACTCAAGTATTAACATTTCTCTATGAAATAAAAGGAGGTGTTTTAAAGAGCTGCTAGTAGGTTCGCTTTAAACCACACAAGCTTAACCAAGAAAATGTTACACGAAGTTGCTGATTAAATCAGTGCTGTTTTTACACCACTTCTGGCCAACTCAGAATAATTTAGATTGTTCTTTTAACGAAAAAGGCTTTCTATCTCTTTTAAAGTAAGTCACTTTATAAGCTGGCAGAAGTGAATGACACTTTGAGAGTAGTCTTTCAGTCTGAAGATGTGAGACTTCCTGAAACAAGTTCTCAAGAGGTCTTTACATTATATTTATAACTGATATAAAAATTATATTTAGAATTTTTAAACATGTACAAAGGGCTACATTTTAATTTTAAATAGCTTCACATTATTTTACTTATTGGGTTTTTCTTCTTTTTAATCCTTTTCAAGTGGAACAGCTTAGATTAAGTACACACTTGAAATCTCCTCTTCATGATCTTTTTCATTAACAATGTATTCCAGAGGGTTAGTTGGGGAAAAACTTCATTCTCAGGAAAAGACTTGAATGATTATGTGACCCTGTTATGTTTCAGTGTTGTGACAACTGTGTCAACTGGGGGGGAGACAGTATTGTATCATAAATGAGATGCGTAGTTCGTTTTCTTTCATGGGAAGTAGAGATGAAAATGTGTACATTTCTCTAATCGAGTTGTTTAGAGAGAGAACTAATGTCTCATATGATGTATTTACTTATTTTAAAAGGATAGGAATGAGATGTCCCTGAGCTGTACTTTTCTATATTATAAGGCCTTTAGGCATCAGTGCATCTGGGTTATCCACATTTTCTTAAATGCTGTCAATATTTTACTGTAATTTATGTTCTTATATTTATGTATATTTGTTAAAACTGTAAAAAAAATTTCACAGATTTTTTTTCAATACCTGTGCAAGATATATGTGTAGCTTAATGTATTTGTGATCTACTGTTTGCATGTAAGAGACCAGGATATGTAACTCTTATATTTTAAGTGTATACATATTGTGTATATAATATATGACTATTAAAAATGGGGAACTGCACATTTTACCTTTCAGACAACAGTTTCTATTACAGAAAGAAATGATTATCAAGTACATGCTGAGATTAAGACTAGTTTAAAAACTTACCAGTGGATCTGGTCAGAATGTGGTGAATTATAGTCAAAAGGAGAATTAATGAGCATTTCATTACTAAATTTGCTATATTCAGTCAATTAAGTGTCCCTTATCAAGCAGTCATCTTCATGATTGTACTTGGCTATTAAATAAAGAAAAATCAGACATAAGACAATGACAGAACTGTCTAAAACTAAACAGGACCACTCTTTATTCTTAAATGTGTGTGTGTCCAGCAATTGAAGTGAATGTCCAAAATGTCTAAAGGTAGAATGTGAATACTGCTGCAAAGTTCATTGCTCTCAGTATAAGGTTTTACTTTATTAATGCAGAAGGAATATGAAAATATTTAAGTCTGCAAATTTTTTTATTATGGTGCAGCTTTTTTTTTTTCCTTTTTGATTATGTTTTTTAAATTGTACAAATGGAAAACATACCATGCCATAAAGTCTGGGGGTTTTTTTGCCAAATTTTTAAATTGTACAAATGGAAAACATACCATTCCATAAAGTCTGGGTTTTTTTTTGCCAACTTCACCGAAACACACTGGTGCTTTCATCATTGGAGGTCAAGTTACAATGGTAATTATTTAGTTAAATTTGCCGAACACTTGTCATGGTTACCAGTGTAGCTGTCAAATTCTGCCATTTGACACAACTTTGGAAAGCTTTTAATTCCTCTTGGTTTTTCAATTCTGTTTTAGAATGACTGTTACAGTTTTAATTTGGCCGTTTAAAGCCAAATGAGCCATCGATCATGGTTTCCCGGACACTGTTGGGCAGTGTGCAGCGGAGGGTGTGCGCCCCTGCGCGCTCGGGAGGGAGCATTGCGTGAGGTTTTTTAAGATGCTGTGCTGTAAAATACTGTCAAATTTGCTATTTCCTGATACAGTGTAGTTTTTCCCCTTTCATTTGAATAAAAGCATGGCACCAAATGACTTCTGTTTCTTGAATTAAATGTTTTGTTTTGTTTTTTTTGTAAAATTATCTAAACTGGGGAGAACTCATCATGTAGTTTTCTTCTCGCTTAACCTATGTTTAACCTGAACAATCTGAATAGTGAGAAGTGGCAACTTTTAATATTAGATATTGTTTGAATACTGACTTAAGGCAATGGTAAAAAGTTTGTATGTACTCTTTATGTTTAGGTCAGATGGTCTAATGTGTGTAAATGTGTGTGTTCATCTTACATTAACCTGGTCCATATTGATTCACTACCTCTTGGTGAATTAATAATTAAATTGTGCTGTAATTAAAATCTTATGTCCTTGAAATTGAATGGCTAGTAAATTCACAGATCTACAGCAGTCATGAAAAGCCAGTTTTTGACAGTATGTGTTTCACTTGATTTTGCTGATTCTTATTCAGGCCAGAGCAATTAAGAAAAAGAAAAGATCTGGTAATGAAACAATCAAAAGAAAGAAAAAGAAAAACCCCGATCTTCAGGCCTTTTGTTTTGGTTTGTTTTTGTTTTTACCATAAAGTGTGTGTGCTTGCTAGAGAGGAACAAAACAGTGCTGTGCTTTGAGAGCTGGATCCCACGTGACCACCACGGTTAGTGTCCTGATCCTGGTGGCGTCAAGATAGCCATGTGTATGTGTGTGTGCCCGAAACCCTGACGGGATGGGGCAGTGGAGGAAAAGGGATTGAGCTGTGACCAGGCCCTATTGGTTGGTTATGATTTCCCTCTCTCTCTCTCAGGTGCACACCCCCTGGCACTAGTCACACACACACACACACAACCTAATGTCAGCTTCTAGTGAAATCAGCTCTCCTTCCTGATGTATATCCAGCCACCAAGACTGAAACCGTCACAGTTTTTCCTTATTTCTTCCTCTCTATCCAACATGAAAGAACCTCGGGGCCAGACGGCCACCAAATCCTGTCACATATTTATACATTCAGTCTGTCCCACACCCTTCCTGCCTAGCATCAGGGTTTAGAAGGTACGTGGCTCATAGGCAGGGCTTATGAAAGAACCTTCAAGTGGCCCCTGCTTCCATTTCCCCTCCCACTCAGCCTGCAGATTGTTGCTCCAACTTTCGAAAGCCCTCTTCCATCAGGCCATCCCCATTGGCCCAAAGCTCTGGGAGCCTCATTATTAGGGTGTGAAACTCACCCCCAACCCCCCTCTAGTAGGGAAATGCCCTCGGGCAGTGGGCACCCACAGCTGAGGCACATTTGGCATTTCGAAGTAACTCAACATGATCATGAAAAAAAAAAACGAACTAAGGGCTTTCTTATTTTGCAGTTCGGCACTTTTTATTTTGAATTACAGAGAAGACGGGGCAGTGTTGAGGTGATTATAATCTTGTCAGCGTGTTATGGAACCCCTAAAGGTCTTTATCTTGTCTGTCAGCGTCTCCGATACACAGAAGGACTTCCTATACTTCAGAAAGACTGGCCTGCTTCCACCTTGATAGGTGATATCACAATCTACACGTTAACAGCCCTTCTGCAGTGCCTTGTCAGCCTGTCTGTTACTTCAGCTCACACAATGCCCCAGCTGCGCAAAGGGGCTGTTTACAAGCCAGCTGAATTCAAGGTGACCTGAGGAGTTAGTGTCACTGATCAGCGGAGGATCACCCCATCATGGGAGAGCCCCAACTGATGCTGAGGGAACACTGCCAAA